AAAAAAATTAAATTCTCACATGAGTTGGGGCACCTAGGTGGCTCCATCGGTTAAGCGACCAACTTTGGCTCAGGTCATGATCTCGCCATTCGTGAGTTCAAGCCCCGCATCGGGCTCTGTGCTGACAGCTCAGAGCCTGGTGCCTGCTTCAGATTCTGTGACTCCCTCTCTCTCTGCCCCTTCCCTGCTCGTGCTCCCTGTCTCTCTTTCTCTCTCAAAAAGAAATAAACATTTAAATAAATAAATAAATTCTCACATGAGTTGAAGCACCATCAGGAAAAGCCAGGGGATGTGACATGTGTTCAAGTTCAGATATGTTCCTTGAATAACAACCATCTCAGTCTTTGCAATTTGTGCTCACCCTACCTTTCCTGAAATTATTTTGAAGCAACGATAGACTAACCTCAGTGTTAGAATTGCTCTGACCATTCTGGTTTGGGGATGGCTTGCTTTGTCAGCAGCAGCTCTTTCCAAAGAAATGATTGAAAGATTGTTGAAATTGATTCAGGACTTAGATCTGGAGCATTATGGAGCTGTCTACCCACTAGAGTGATCGTTACTTCAAAACTCATGTTTGTAAAAAGATATAAGCTATAAAAAGTATATGAAGCTTTATATAAAGCTTTTTATAAAATAAGTAAAACTAAATGGAATGCATAAGTTATTTTCATTCTTAATCCTCTCTATATACTCAAAAGTCATTTAACAATACATTTTTATTCTTTATCTCCTGTCATGTGCAAGAAAGTATGGTAACCTTTTGATACATAGTTCAGGCGAACTAGACGTCACTTCTAACACTTTAGAGCATACGCTGTATGCACTTGGAGTTGAGGTTAAAGTGAGTAACAAATATCATACAAGTGACCAAACTACATACAATTTCAGATTGTGATAAGTGCCCTCAGGAAACTTAAGAGATACTAGAAAAAAGCATAGCAGAGGAATCCAGTCAAATATGTAGTGGGAGGTCAGGGAATGACTCTGCAGAAGTGACATGTAAGACAAGTTGTGAAGGATAAAGTGGAATCCAGAGTGAAGAACTGTGGGAGTACATGATGGGGTCAGGGGTGGGGGTCCATGCAGAAAGAGCCACCTGGGTATAGGCCTGAGTAGGGAAGGAACTCTTCATGTGGTCAAGGAGGCAAAAGAAGTTCCTATGGCCAGAGCAAGGCATAGATTTCTCTTCCACATGTAATACAGCATTGGCCATTTTCTGCCTTTATTAACTTACTTTAAATAGTTCTATATTTTTTTTCTTTTGGCTTCTGTTTGCGGTGATCTTTCAAACTATCAACAGAAATGGATTTCCATTTAAAAATAGCAAGTAGTTAGTTGTGTTTAATGCCGTTCCTCAACTTCCAAATGAAATACCTCTGATGACACAGAAAATATGAATACTTAAAATAGCACTGAAAATTAAGAATAATATTTCTGGAATCTCTGAGGAATTTTCATGAACTCAAAAGCTGATGAGGCTAGACTGAAAGAAACAACTGCTGGCCAACCTGTGCTTTGAGACTCATGCACATTCCTTTGTCTGTACAC